CTACCATTTCCGGAGCTGAAGCCCTAGCCTGTTCCTGAGCTGCAGTTGCTGCCACCTGTTCTCCAGCTGCAGCTGCCACCGCCTGCTCCTATGCTGCAGTTGCCGCCACCAGCTCTCGGGCCATGCTCCGTCTACCAGAGAGGCAGTCATAGGCACAGACAATGACCAACACCATCAGTCCTGGCACTCCAGTCCAGCAGTGGCGACACCCCCATGGAGGGTGAAGTAGCCGGGTGTGCTGGAGAGGTCCAAACCACTCAGCGTGTTGCCAAGAATTCCTCTGTCTAGTCCTAAGCAGGTTGGCTGGTGCGCCAACGCCTCTCCTGTGCCTGATCCTAAGTGGGTCAGCCGGACTGCCAACACCACCCCTGTTCCTGATCCCGAGCAGGTTGACCGGACCACTGATGCTGCCTCCATCCCTGAGCAGGTCAGCTGGACTGCCGATGCTGCCTTCATCCCTGAGCAGGTTGGCCGGATTGCTGACACCGCCTCTGCTCCTGCCCTTTGGCCAGACCATGCAGATGTTCCCACTGAGGCAGAAATCCCCAGATGTGTTGACGACTGTCCCCGCTGGGGTTCAAGGTTCACAGGCAGTGAATGAGGAAACGTGAACCAAGGTCTCCGAGTCAGCCCTTGAGCAGGTTGGCTGAAATGTCGATGCTACCCCTGTTCCTATTCCCCAATTGGTTGCCGACACCACCTCCATCCCAGTTCCTCAGGAGCCTGACATTGCCTCCACCCCAGTTTCTGCACTGCCAGTCAGCCCACTGCTGCAGCCCCTGTCCCTGGTACCTCTGCCACTGCAGCCCCCATCCTTGCCTGGTTCCGAGCTGCAGCCTCTTCAGTGCCAAGTCCGCCCTATGGAGTGATCTCCTGCCGGGTCCTCTGGAGCAATCCTCTGCAATCCACTGCCTGGTTTTGGGGTCAACCTCTGGAGCGATGTCGTCTCTGGTCTCTCCTCCAAAACAGCCTCTCCGACCCCTGTCCGACACCGCTGACATCCCCCCAAGTGGCCTCCTGCCCAGCGCTGAGGTTGTCCTCTCGTACAGCTACACCAGACTTATACCTGGTCCCACTGGACCTCTGCCTGGTTCTGTGGCCACCCTCCTGAGTGGCCTCTCCGATCTCCTGTCTAGTCCTGTGGCTGCCCTCCTGCACAGTCCCTCCTGCGTAGTCCCTCCTGCATGGTCCCTCCTGTTCCTGGTCTAGTCTTTGGTCTTCCCACCTGAGCAGTCGCCGGAGCCTGAGATTCCTGCCATCCTGTTCTTGGGGGTCGACCCCTGAGTGGTGGTGCCCCAGTTTTTGTTGTGGGCACCCTGTGGCCTTTATCTATATATGTTTTTTGCTTTTGCCCTTTTTTTCCCAGTTCCCTTGTTTTTGGTTTTGAACTTTGTGTTTGGGGACCAGATGGCTTTGTTTTTTTTTTGGTTTGTTTTTCGTGCCCTCCTTCCAGGCTGTCATCCTCCCTCCCTGCTTGGCCTTGCTCTGGTTTTGGGTTTTTCTCTTTTGTTTTTGGATGCCTGGGAGCCATCCTTGAGGGGGGGTACTGTTATGTTTGGTCCTGTGCTCCCTATTTTTCTTTCCTTTTCTCTGTCTCCCTCTGCCTGTCACAATCTTAGCCAGCATAGTCATTCATCATCATATTCACCTGCCACTCATTACCTCCCCATATATACATGGCCTTTTCTGTTAGTTCCGCATTGGTCCATAACCTAAACTTCTCCTGCATGTTTGTGTACTGCCAAAAGTCAGCCCCGGCGCATTTGCGATCCTGCCTGTTACTGAACTGCTTCCAGATCCTGGGTGTACTCCTGTTTACCTGTTTCCTGCTCCATTGGTGGTGTGTGTGTCTTCTCTGTCTTCTTCAGTCTGCTGCCTGCTCCAGACATGCCACGCTGAATGCCTCTGCTTGCTCCACGAGATGTACCTGTTTAACCATCCACCGGTGAGTCCAGCTATCTCCAGCTCGCCATTTCTCTGTCCTACACTTGCCCATAGGAGCTGCTATGTCAGCACCAATCCACAACAGTCAGCAACAGCTTCACCTCCACCTTCTCTGTCTTCTCATTACCCGCCTCCACTTGTCTTACTGCTCCAGTATACCCAGCTTCACCCATCCAGCCTGCCTTCATTCCCAGCTCCAAGAACCTTCTCTGCCTCTGCTCTTTCTCTTGCTCTCAATAAAGTTACAATAAATTCTACTTCATATCCCACTTCCGGCATGTGTGTTGGTACATTGGGTTGAGCTACTACAGAATTTAACAGTTATTTCTTCACTTGTCACATCAGAATCATCTCTTTAGTCATCTTTCCTATTAGGCTCTTGTTTGTCATTGACACTGTTCTCTTGGTCTCCTTTCCTGCTTTTTTGTTTTGCACTGTCCTACCCCTTGTCTGCTTTGTATCCTTGTAAAGTATCATCATCATCATTTTTGGCTCAGTCATCTAGCTTCTGTCCCTTGCTAACATGTTTTCATGAAAATTACAATAAAAATGTTACTTATGATTATAGTATACATTTGTAATGACCTGTTACTGGACTGATCACTTCTATAAATAACAACATGGCTTTAGTCTTAAATACCCTTATTAGAATACTCAAGGGAGAACATTCATACTGCCTACAACTTCCTTAGTTCTGATATATGCCTTTTAAAGTTATTAAAAGCTTTTGAAACTCAACGCTATAATATGATATTGTGCCTGCACAAAGTGACTCTGTCTTGATTCCTTGTCAGCCTTGAAACCCACTAAAAAAATGTATGCAATGAACTATGGCTCAGCTGAAATTGTTTGAATACTAATATCTATGTTTCTTTTTTTCTTTTTTTTCTTTTTTTTTTTTACCAGTTTGAAAGATCAGTTTATTTGGTCCAAATCTATAATATGCAAAATAATGGAATCACCCTGCAATTAATCCCTGTCTTTGTGAAGCTTATGCATTTGTGTTTTTGACACTGTAGTTAATTAATACATGGGCACAAAATATTATAAGCTCCTCTCAATAAAACACAAACCCACCTCAATAAACAGTTGAACAAGTTCCACAAAGATAAAATTCATTGCAGAATGATTGTATTTGATTGTGTAGGTATAACTGAGAAACCAATAAATTTGTACTGTTTTATAATTTTGTTCGGAAATATTGACAAGCATAAGGTACAATGAACACAGACCTATACTAATTTTTTTTATTTGAAACAACCATTAAACAAATTGTTCAACCACCCACCCCTCCCACCTTAACATGGGTTACACCAACCAAGATAAAGAGCAAGAATAATGATAATTAGTCCATGGAATGATTCTTTTGAAACTCCTAATCTCTAATCCAGCCTCATTTGGAAGAAGAGTATTCTTTTCCTGTAAATGATAAGCATTAATATCTAATACAGTATGTGTGGGTGTGTTCTGTGTGGGGCATTTAGACAAACATTTAGAACAGATTTTGAACCAACATGTCACATGACATTGGAACTATTGAAGTTTAAATACAGTTATTCTGAAAAAGGATTAATATTAAATATGAAAACTAAGCTCCACTATAAAATGATGTGCTCTCTGTGGGACATGCGGATACAAATTTCAGAAGATACTACACAAATTTTATACCAGTAGATTATTAGAATTATACACTATTACTATACATATTTAATCTTGTGAATAAAGCATTTTTAATAATTATGGATAGTATCAATATCCAATATAAAGGACTGTGCACTCTATAGAACATATGTCCACATTTTGTAATAGCTTCTTTGTAAAGTTTAGTTCTGTGTGTGATGATACTGTCCCCCCTGCTGTGCCTGAGGCTGTAGGTGCAGTTTTTGTGTCTGAGCAAAGAGTGAGCTGGGTGGCGTGGATCCCTGAGTATGTTCTCTGCCCTTTTATGACAGCACTGTGTGTGCAGTGTGTCCATAGCAGGCAGTTCAGTCCCAATTATCCTCTCTGCAGTCTTTATGACCCTTTGAAGAGCCTTCCTCTCTGCCTGTGTGGTGTTACCATACCAGACTGTGATGCCAGTAGTGAGGATGCTCTCTACCAGTCCTCTATAAGCCTGGGTGAGCTTCTGTAACCTGACTCGTCTCCCCACTTGATGAGGCCCAGAATGGTGGTGTCATCAGCATATTTAATGATGATGGTGTTGTCATGGTTGGAGACACAGTTGTGGGTGTACAGGGTGAAGAGTTTGGGGCTGAGACAGCAGCCCTGCAGTGACTGATTGTGAGCTCAGCAGACACCCGCCCTCCCATTCTAACTATCTGTGGTCTTTCAGTCAGGAAGTCCAGAATCCAGTTACAGGTGAGATTTGGTACACTGAGGTCTGTCATCTTCCCAATCAGCCTACCCAGGCAAATGGTGTTGAATGCAGAACTGTAATATAGGAAGAGCATCCTAGCATACGTACTGCTGTTGTTCAGGTGTTTCAGGGTGTGGAATAAAGCCAGAGCTGTCGCGTTGTCCACTGATTTGTTGGAGCGATAGGAAAACTGGAGGGGGTCTACACTGTCCAGGACCATGTGGTTAACGTGTGTGAGGACCAGTTTCTTAAAGCACTTCATGACGATACTGGCCTGAAGTCATTCAGAGTAGATGTGTCTGATGTCTTAGGGAACAGTATGATAATGGATTTTTTGAAAATGCAAGGAACTACTGCTTGGGTTAAGGACAGGTTGAAGATGTCTGCATACACACTAGCTAGTTGAACCCCACAGGGTCCCAACACTCTAGGGGGGACACCATCTGGTCTTGCCACCTTATGGGGGTTTACCTGTCTCAAGGCCTTCAGGACCTGTGTGTGTGTCACCTGAAAAGCAGTGTCCCCCGGGTCGCAGGGGGATTTTGAGATGGTGTCTTGTGTTCAACCTGTCAAACCTCACATAGAAGTTGTTGAGGCTGTCCGGGAGGGTGGCGTCCTGGGGGGCTGTGTTTGTTGATTTGTTCCTGTAGTTTGTGACTGCCTGATTCCCTGCCACATACTGCGTGTGTTGTCATTCATATAGTAGCTCTCCAGTTTTTGAAAGTATGCTCCCTTTACAGCTCTGATGGATTTCTGTAGCTCATACCGGGCTTTCCTGTACTCCGCTTGGTCCCCTGACTTAAAAGCCTCTCGTCTCTTCCTGATTTTCTGTTTTATATCCCTATTAAACCATGGTTTTTAGTTGGGGAAAACACACACACTTCTAGCTGTTCCGCATATAGATGTGCACCAGCTGATGCAGTCACTCACATTATCTGCATATTCATGGAGTCATCTGTGGCCCCTTTGAAGATGCTCCAGTCTGTGGCCTCCAGTCTGTGACCTCTGCGGGTCTTGCCGCTTTCAGCGGTGCTGCGATCCTGTCTGAACACAGAGTAACCATCCAGAGTTATACCCTCATCGGGAGTCTCTTTTCCCAGCCATGTTTCACAAAAACACAGCAGGGAGCAGTCCTGTATGTCCTTCTGCGAGGTAATCCGAGC